TTAGTACTATTTTATAAAGGAAAACCCATCCAATTCTCTTAATCCCAAAAAAAGTTATGATCACCTAAAAAATCCCAAAAATCCCCCAAAAGGGGTACCCCTTTGGAAATAGGGGGTGGGACAAAATTTTGGAATTTTGACCCATAAAACGTCCCATATGGTACTTTGACATGCGCTGAGTCCAAATCCGGTGTCAGAAAAATTTTAAAAAATTCCCCCGGGACGTTAGAGTCAAAAAAAGTTTCGCGACATTTGCGAACATTGGCCATAACTTTTTGAGACTCAACCGGACCCCCGACATATTATACCTTTTTCGGACCGTCAGGTGACGCTCTATAACATAGGATATCGAAAACGGGTTTCAATTCACTTTTGAGAATTGGAGCCACCCTTCCCAATTTTACATGGGGGCACTTTGAAACTTTGGGCTACTGTAACTTGGTCAAAAGTATTCCGAAAAATTTAAACTAAATTTTTCCAGACTCAGCTCGTCGAGAGCTTTCATTTGACATATCACACGTGATTTGTCGATAAGTTTCGTAAATTTCGAAATTTGCGAAACTGGGATTTTGGGATTTTTGCGCAGGCATATCTACCCTTCAAGTTGGGATTTAGACTTCGGGTTTTTTCCTACATATATCAGCTTATTCCAACTTGCGTGCCTCCCGTTGGAAGTTTTTTGATATCTCCCCCCAGTCCCGAGATACCCCCGGTACCTATTCAATATAGGTACCAGGGGGTAATTATTTCTTAACTTTCGTATTTTTCCCAAATGCCCCATCAAATAGAACCCTTAAATGCAAAAGTTTCAGACCCCTAACTCAATTCGTTAAAGGGTTAGAATTTTTCAGCCTGGGGGCATAATCATTTGGGAAGGCATAAGTACCCTTCAGGTCCGAATTTCGAATTCGAGTTTTTTGCATTCGAACTCTACTAATAGCCGTACATCATCCTCCCAGCAGACATTTTTCGCTATAACCCCCCATTGAAAAGATAGCCCCGGCGCTTAAGCGATTTAGGTACCAGGGGGTAATTATTTTGACTTCTCGATAATTTTCCTGGATGCCCCGTCCCAAACTACCCCCCGAATGTCAAACTCCCAAAACCGTGCCGGCCTTCGGCCGGCCGTTATTTTTTTTCTTAGAAAAAACACTCCCTGAATTATAGGTATATAGTAATTAACTTTCGTATTTTTCCCAAATGCCCCATCAAATAGAACCCTTAAATGCAAAAGTTTCAGACCCCTAACTCAATTCGTTAAAGGGTTAGAATTTTTCAGCCTGGGGGCATAATCATTTGGGAAGGCATAAGTACCCTTCAGGTCCGAATTTCGAATTCGAGTTTTTTGCATTCGAACTCTACTAATAGCCGTACATCATCCTCCCAGCAGACATTTTTCGCTATAACCCCCCATTGAAAAGATAGCCCCGGCGCTTAAGCGATTTAGGTACCAGGGGGTAATTATTTTGACTTCTCGATAATTTTCCTGGATGCCCCGGACCAAACTACCCCCCGAATGTCAAACTCCCATAACCGTGCCGGCCTTCGGCCGGCCGTTATTTTTTTTCTTAGAAAAAACACTCCCTGAATTATAGGTATATAGTAACTAGTTGTGCCCATTGGGGTATGGCGGTAAGTTACGTATGCACTATATTTAATAGGCGGAGCCTTTGGTTACGATACTTTTGCCCGTTGGAAAGCCTAACGGCTTTGGGGCGCGCTTCGCGCGCTGCTAGAAATTTTTTCTGCTACATTTAATAAAAAGCCCTGGAAATCTCGTCGGGCCTTCGGCCCGCCGCGTTTAAAAATTCTCTGCCCTCGCGATTCATTTTGGGGTGGATCTTAAGCTCGGGCCTTCGGCCCTCGCGATTAATTTTGGGATGGATCTTAAGCTCGGGCCTTCGGCCCTCGCGACCCATTTTGAGATGGATCTTAAGCTCGGGCCTTCGGCCCTCGCGACCTATTTCGTGATGGATTTTATGCTCGGGCCTTCGGCCCTCGCGACCCATTTTGTGATGGATCTTATGCTCGGGCCTTCGGCCCTCGCGACCCATTTTGTGATGGATCTTAAGCTCGGGCCTTCGGCCCTCGCGATTCGTTTTGGGATGTATCTTAAGCTCGGGCCTTCGGCCCTCGCGATTCGTTTTGGGATGGGTCTTAAGCTCGGGCCTTCGGCCCTCGCACGGCGGGCCGCCGGCCCGCCGTTTGGGTGCCTTTGGCCCCCAAATCACCCACACCCAAAATTTCGACCTTTTGTAACTTTGGACAAAATGGTCAGAAAATTCCAGAAAAAATATTTTCGTGCTCAGCTTGATGAGAGCTTTCGATTGATATAACATTTGCCCTATTTTAAGTCATTTTGGAAAAAATAAATTTTTGGTCAAAAATTTCGACCGAAAATTTTGAGCAAATTTTCAAAAATTCATAACTCCCCAAAAATAAACCCTTTTGAAACATTTTAAAAGCTTAATATATAGCAAAAAATCTGCTCTATTTTATAAAAATATATTCAACCACCCTCAGCCTCGATATACCCCAGAAAATTTTAAAAAACCGAAAAATTTTGAATTTTCAAAAAATCGACCCTACCAAGCCTCGGGTGAAATTTTTCAAAAATTTTAATAGCTCAAAAAATTTGTAATTTTTTGCTCTATTTTATAACCCTTATTTCGTTTGGCTACGACAAAAACTTACAAAGTTATGCCCAATCTAAGTTTCACCAAAAAATTTCAAAAGGGGTCCCCCTTCAAAAATGGGTCAAAAATTCGACCTCGAGAAAAATATGTTTTATGGTACTCCAAAGGGTGCTGAACACGAATCTGAAGTCCGTTTATTTTTAAAAATTTTTTAAAAAAAGTTACACTCAAAAAACCGACCAATTTTGACCCCAAAAATGCCACTTTTTGCCCTATAACTTTCCCAGACTCAAGTGTACCCCCAACAAAGTGTATATTTTTAGAGGTTTCAAGGGACGCTCTACAAGATAGGATACTCAAATCGAGTTTCAATTCACGCGTTAAAAAGTCGGTTTTGGCGAGGTCACTTTGGTGCCCATAACTATGTCAGGAAAAAATCCCAGACTCAAGTGTCTCCCAACAAAATTGTAGTACATTTAGTGCCCTATTATAACAAAAAAGAGTTGAAACCATTTGCCTTCTCTTAAGCAATTTTATAATTACATTCGATGGGAGCCACCCTTTACGATAGGGGTTCTGGACATTTTGACCCTTTGACACTTTGTAACTTTGCCCAAAATGGTCAGAAAAATTTGAACCAATTTTTTCCAGAACCTACTCATGGAGCTCCATCGAATGGCATATAGTTTGAAAATTGTCGGTGATTTTCGTCGGACACCATGTGTCATTTTGGGACGAGATGTGCAATTTTTGCGCGAGGCCACAGGTCGGAGAGTTCACCCGATCCCTCCCAAATTTTTCCTACGATATAGTACACATTCTGACTTAGGGCCCTCGCCCCAAGCACTTTTTGCTCACACTTCACCCCTCCTCGCTATTTCCATTTGAAAAACCACCCATGGCCGTTTCAGTGCGAAAACGACGTTTCAGTGCCGAGGTCATATTTTTCCTGAATAGAGCGCAAAAAGTTGCAGGACAAATGTAGCTTCAAAAAAATTCCCCGGCCTTCGGCCGGGGCGCAGGACTTTTTGGAAAGGATTTTCTCCCCAAAAAGAGGGGCACTACCAAGATTTTTATAATATATATAACTAGCTGTAGTTACGTATGCGATGGCGGTAAGTTACGTATGCACTGGAATTTAATAGGCTGAGCCTTTGGTTACGATACTTTGCCCGTTGGAAAGCCTAACGGCTTTGGGGCGCGCTTCGCGCGCGGCTAGAAACGGTAACATTTTGCTCTGCCTTTTCATTGCTCCGGGCCTTCGGCCCTCGCCTGTAAAGTTTAGCCCTGCCTTTTCATTGCTTCGGGCCTTCGGCCCTCGCGACCCATTTTTAGATTGATCTTAGCTCTTCCAATTAGAGTCACTTCGGGCCTTCGGCCCTCGTCTTCACCTCGATTGGACTCATCCTTCCACTTAGAGTCACTTCGGGCCTTCGGCCCTCGTCTTCCTCTCTATTGGACTCAGCCTTTTAATTAGAATCACTTCGGGCCTTCGGCCCGAAGTCTTTGACCCCCTGGGACTCATCCTTCCACTTAGAGTCACTTCGGGCCTTCGGCCCTTGTGTTCCCTTCGATACCCTCGAATGGACTCACCCTTCCACTTAGAGTCACTTCGGGCCTTCGGCCCTCGTCTTCCCCTCGATTGGACAAAATTTCGAAGCATTAGATGCTTCACGAAGCATTGCTGCTTCGGATCCATAACAGGATCCAGCTTATCCTCCTACTAAATTTTCCCCCATATACAAAATTCACCTTTAAACTCTTCTACGTGTTGCCCCGCATGGTCAGAGACGGAGAAAAATTTCGCCTCTCTGCCATCAACTTCACCTTCAATCATTTTTCCTCTCTCCCTACCATAATTTTCCGAGTACGGTACTCACACCCACAAATTTTTGAACCTCTGTACTTTCTTCAAAATGTACCGAAAAAGTTCGAAAAAAATATTTTTATATCCAGCTCGATGAGAGCTTTCGAATGATATCTCATTTGCCATATTTATATCCATTTTGAAAAAAATATTTTTTGGGCCTGAAATTTCAGCGAGAAAAAATCCCCGAAATTTTCAAAAAATCATATCTCGCCCAAAGTATACCTTTTTGAAAATTTTAAAATCCCAAAATATGTAGAAAAATCTGCTTAATACAGGAAAAATACCTTCGGCCCGAACCGCCTGCAAAAATCCCGAAAAATTTCGAAAAACCGAAAAATTTTGGGTTTTTCGAAATTCGACCCCTACACCTGCAATTTTGAATTTTTTAAAAATTTTTTGGGCTCAAAAAATTTCTAATTTTTTACTTAATTTAATAAAGGAAACCCCATCCCAATCTGACAATCCCAAAAAAAGATATTTCAAATTTAAAAATCCCTAAAATCCCCCCAAAGGGGTACCCCTTTAGAAAAATTCGAGGGACCAAAATTTTTGGATTTTGACCCATAAAACGTCCCATATGGTACTCTGACATGCGCTGAGTCCAAATCCGGTGTCAGAAAAATTTTAAAAAATTCCCCCGGGACGTTAGAGTCAAAAAAAGTTTCGCGACATTTGCGAACATTGGCCATAACTTTTTGAGACTCAACCGGACCCCCGACATATTATACCTTTTTCGGACCGTCAGGTGACGCTCTATAACATAGGATATCGAAAACGGGTTTCAATTCACTTTTGAGAATTGGAGCCACCCTTCCCAATTTTACATGGGGGCACTTTGAAACTTTGGGCTACTGTAACTTGGTCAAAAGTATTCCGAAAAATTTAAACTAAATTTTTCCAGACTCAGCTCGTCGAGAGCTTTCATTTGACATATCATACGTGATTTGTCGATAAGTTTCGTAAATTTCGAAATTTGCGAAACTGGGATTTTGGGATTTTTGCGCAGGCATATCTACCCTTCAAGTTGGGATTTAGACTTCGGGTTTTTTCCTACATATATCAGCTTATTCCAACTTGCGTGCCTCCCGTTGGAAGTTTTTTGATATCTCCCCCCAGTCCCGAGATACCCCCGGTACCTATTCAATATAGGTACCAGGGGGTAATTATTTCTTAACTTTCGTATTTTTCCCAAATGCCCCATCAAATAGAACCCTTAAATGCAAAAGTTTCAGACCCCTAACTCAATTCGTTAAAGGGTTAGAATTTTTCAGCCTGGGGGCATAATCATTTGGGAAGGCATAAGTACCCTTCAGGTCCGAATTTCGAATTCGAGTTTTTTTCCATTGACATCCCCTAATAGCGGTACATCATCCTCCCAGCAGACATTTTTCGCTATCTCTTACCATTAAAAAGATAGCCCCGGCACTTAAGCGATTTAGGTACCAGGGGGTAATTATTTTGACTTCTCGATAATTTTCCTGGATGCCCCGTCCCAAACTACCCCCCGAATGTCAAACTCCCATAACCGTGCCGGCCTTCGGCCGGCCGTTATTTTTTTTCTTAGAAAAAACACTCCCTGAATTATAGGTATATAGTAACTAGATGTAGTTACGTATGCGATGGCGGTAACTTACGTATGCAATTCCTATTAGGATACTCTGGCAGTTTTTTTCGGACTCTGCCCATTGGAAAGCCTAACGGCTTTGGGGCGCGCTTCGCGCGCCGCTAGAACTTTTGGATGCCTGGAAAAAAAGATTAAGCTTTGCCTTTTCATTGCTCCGGGCCTTCGGCCCTCGCCCTCCCTCCCTCATCACTCATCGTTCCACTTCGAGTCACTTCGGGCCTTCGGCCCTCGTCTTCCCCTCGATTGTACTCTTTCTTCCATTTAGAGTTGGAAGAAAGATTGGACTCTTTCTTCCATTTGCTCTGCCTTTTAGATGGGTTTAAAGCTCGGGCCTTCGGCCCTCGCCTACTCCTCGGCCTTCGGCCTCGGAGGATCTATGCTCTGCCTTTAATTATAGCTCTGCCTTTTAGATGTAATAAAAGCTCGGGCCTTCGGCCCTCGCCTACTCCTCGGCCTCGGAGGATCTTTGCTCTGCCTTTGACTATAGCTATGCCTTTTAGATGTAATGAAAGCTCGGGCCTTCGGCCCTCGCCTACTCCTCGGCCTCGGAGGATCTTTGCTCTGCCTTTGACTATAGCTATGCCTTTTAGATGTAATGAAAGCTCGGGCCTTCGGCCCTCGCCTACTCCTCGGCCTCGGAGGATCTTTGCTCTGCCTTTGACTATAGCTATGCCTTTTAGATGTAATGAAAGCTCGGGCCTTCGGCCCTCGCCTACTCCTCGGCCTTCGGCCTCGGAGGATTTATGCTCTGCCTTTGAATATAGCTCTGCCTTTTAGATGTAATGAAAGCTCGGGCCTTCGGCCCTCGCCTACTCCTCGGCCTTCGGCCTCGGAGGATCTATGCTCTGCCTTTGACTATAGCTCTGCCTTTTAGATGTAATGAAAGCTCGGGCCTTCGGCCCTCGCCTACTCCTCGGCTTTCGGCCTCGGAGGATCTATGCTCTGCCTTTGACAATTGCTTTGCCTTTTAGATGTAATGAAAGCTCGGGCCTTCGGCCCTCGTCTTCCCTTCGATTGGACTCATCCTTTTAATTAGAGTCACTTCGGGCCTTCGGCCCTCGTCTTCCCCTCGATTGGACTCATCCTTTAAATTAGAGCACTTCGGGCCTTCGGCCCTCGTGTTCCCTTCGATTGGACTCCTCCTTTCAATTAGAGTCACTTCGGGCCTTCGGCCCTCGTCTTCCCCTCGATTGGACTCATCCTTTAAATTAGAGTCACTTCGGGCCTTCGGTTTTAGAGTCAATTAGAGTCACTTCGGGCCTTTAAATTAGAGTCACTTTGCTCTGCCTTTGACTATAGCTATGCCTTTTAGATGTAATGAAAGCTCGGGCCTTCGGCCCTCGCCTACTCCTCGGCCTCGGAGGATCTTTGCTCTGCCTTTGACTATAGCTATGCCTTTTAGATGTAATGAAAGCTCGGGCCTTCGGCCCTCGCCTACTCCTCGGCCTTCGGCCTCGGAGGATTTATGCTCTGCCTTTGAATATAGCTCTGCCTTTTAGATGTAATGAAAGCTCGGGCCTTCGGCCCTCGCCTACTCCTCGGCCTTCGGCCTCGGAGGATCTATGCTCTGCCTTTGACTATAGCTCTGCCTTTTAGATGTAATGAAAGCTCGGGCCTTCGGCCCTCGCCTACTCCTCGGCTTTCGGCCTCGGAGGATCTATGCTCTGCCTTTGACAATTGCTTTGCCTTTTAGATGTAATGAAAGCTCGGGCCTTCGGCCCTCGTCTTCCCTTCGATTGGACTCATCCTTTTAATTAGAGTCACTTCGGGCCTTCGGCCCTCGTCTTCCCCTCGATTGGACTCATCCTTTAAATTAGAGCACTTCGGGCCTTCGGCCCTCGTGTTCCCTTCGATTGGACTCCTCCTTTCAATTAGAGTCACTTCGGGCCTTCGGCCCTCGTCTTCCCCTCGATTGGACTCATCCTTTAAATTAGAGTCACTTCGGGCCTTCGGCCCTCGTGTTCCCTTCGATTGGACTCCTCCTTTCAATTAGAGTCACTTCGGGCCTTCGGCCCTCGTCTTCCCTTCGATTGGACTCATTCTTCCACTTAGAGGATCTATGCTCTGCCTCGGAGGATCTATGCTCTGCCTATGACAATTGCTTTGCCTTTTGCTTCAGATTTCGAATATTCAAAACTCGAAGCAGATTTGCTTCAAGTTTCAAAAATTCAAAACTCGAAGCAAGTTTGCTTCAAGTTTCAAAAACTTGAAACATGAAACAAAAATTTTAAGCAGAAGCTTGCTTCTGCTTCGGATCCATAACAGGATCCAGCTTGGCCCTCCATAAAATTTTCCCCCATATACAAAATTTACCTTTAATTTTTTCTACGTGTTGCCCCGCATGTCAGAGACGCAGAAAAATTTCGCCTCTCTGCCATCAACTTCACCTGTCAATCATTTTCCTCCGTCCCTCCCATCATTCTCCGGGTACGGTACTCACCCCCACAAATTTTCGAACCTCTGTATGTTCGTCAAAATGTACCGAAAAAATTCGGAAAAAATATTTTTATATCCAGCTCGATGAGAGCTTTCGAATGATATCTCATTTGGCATAGTTATATCCATTTTGGAAAAAATATTTTTTGGGCCCGAAATTTCGGCCGGAAAAAATCACTGAAATTTTTAAAAAATCATAACTCATTAAAAATAGACCCTTTTTAAAAATTTTAAAATCCTATCCGATGCAGAAAAATCTGCTTAATCCAGGAAAAATACCTTCGGCACGAACCGACGGCAAAAATCTCGAAAAAATGTCGAAAAACCGAAAAATTTTGGGTTTTTCGAAATTCTACCCCTACACCCCCATGTTTGGATTTTTTCGAAATTTTTTGGGCTCAAAAAATTTCTAATTTTTGACTCTATTTTATAAAGCAAACCACAACCCAATCCAATAATCCCATAAAAAGTTAAGGCGATTTAAAAAATCCCAAAAATCCCCCAAAAGGGGTACCCCTTTGGAAATAGGGGGTGGGACAAAATTTTGGAATTTTGACTTATAAAACGGCCTATATGGTACTCTGACACCCGCTGAGTACGAATCCGGCGTCAGAAAAATTTTAAAAATTTTCACCGGGTAGTTAGAGTCCAAAAAAGTTTTGCGACATTTGCGAACATTGCCCATAACTTTTTCAGACTCAAACATACCCCCGACATATTATACCTTTTTCGGACCGCCAGGGGACGCTCTTTATGATAGGATATCAAAAACGCGTTTTAATTCACTTTTGAGAATTGGAGCCACCCTTCCCAATTTTACATAAAAATATTTTGAAACTTTGGGCTACTGTAACTTGGTCCAAGGTGATCCGAAAAATTTAAACTAAATTTATCCAGACTCAGCTCTTCGAGAGCTTTCATTTGACATATCATACGTGTTTTGTCGACCAGTTTCGTAAATCTCGAAATTTGCGAAACGGGGATTTTGGGATTTTTGGGAAGGCATATCTACCCTCCAAGTTGGGATTTCGGGTTCGGGTTTTTTCCCATTAATATCCTCTAATCCCAACGTGCGTGCCTCCCGTTGGAAGTTTTCCTCTATCTGGTCCCACTCCCGAGATACCCCCGGTACCTATTCAATATAGGTACCATGGGGCAATTATTTCAACCCTTCCCTATTTTTCCCAAATGCCCCATCGTATCCAACCCCGGATGCAAAAAGTTTCAGACTTCTAACTCATCCCTAAAATGAGTTAGACTTCGAAGCCCCGGGGGCATAACCATTTGGGAAGGCATAAGTACCCTTCAGGTCCGAATTTCGACTTCGAGTTTTTTTCCATTAACATCCCCTAATATCAGGGCACGTGCCTCCCAGCAGACGTTTTCCGCTATCTCCAGCCATTAAAAAGATAGCCCCGGCACTTTTGCAATTTAGGTACCAGGGGGTAATTATTTTGACTTCTCGATAATTTTCCTGGATGCCCCGTCCCAAACTACCCCCCGAATGTCAAACTCCCGAATCCGTGCCGGCCTTC